TCATTGATTGGGTTGGTTTCATTGAAGGAATAGTTGCTTTTTTTCATTCGACTCTAAAAATCGACTTGACATTTATAAAGAATAAAAAAAAGAAAAGAAGGCAGTGGATCTCTGTTGGTGCATGTGGATGAGTGGATGGAGTTTGACAGTTGTTGAATTTTGAATTATTTTTTCCCATATCGATTTGAGTTCTCAATCGGGCGTTTTTTTTACTAGATTTTGAATTTTACTCCAAATTGAATTTCCTCGCTAATTTAGGTAGGTATTCTCTTTTCCTCCGCTTACGGCGAGCATAGTTACATGGGTTTGAGTTTATTCGTTATCTCGTCTCGAATGCAGCGGCTGTCTGTTTGACTGTGGCCTTTGCCTTCAGTTGGAGAGAGAAAAAATCATAGACACATATTTGGGAGTCGATGGTCTTGTTCTATGCTGAGTTGTCAAAACAACATTTAAAATTTTCGACAATAATTTGTGCCACCGTTTTGTTTTCTGTCCAAAGTATATTAAAAGAAGGACCCTCCGGGCTCTGGAGTCGGTGAAGTAGATCCGAAAAGTTTATATCCTCGAGGACATTGGCGGACATAGCGCGGGGACGCTAACCGAACTGTAATTCGGGGTGATAAAATCTCGCAAGGTAACTTGTCTTAGCTTCTTTCCCTACTTATTTTGCAAATTGTGGCTATGAAAAATAACCTTTCTGTTGATCTTCCGTATCGTAGGTAGATGATCCCGAAATCTTGCAAGGCAGGGCAGTATCTTGTGATAGGGGGAACAAAGTAACGGAAAGTTTTACATCTTGAACGGTAAGCCCATCATCTGTCATCATATTTATTCTCCTAGCACTAATTGAATTGCAGGCCTTTCATTATGCATGATATGGTGATTGTTGTCATCAGAAATACCTAATTATTCTTGTCAAGTTAGTGAACATGAAATTGATTTCCTTCAACTCAATAAGATGGACCTCCCAGTCATGTAGTGATTCAAAAATGTAAACATTAACCGTGAATATCCCTCACTCTACCCGCTAGTGATGCAGATGTAGTAATCTATGTATTTTCCCAATATCTGACCAATTCTTTTCAATGTGAACTTCAGGCTTATACGTTCTCCTCAAGAAGTACAGGAGGAAGAACAAGCTAATAACAAGGAGATTCTCTCTCTATACACCGACCAGAGGGGACGCGTGAGATTATTACAACAAAGGTTGCAGTCTTATGTAACCCGGCCGTAACTGCGGACAGATCACACACTACTAAACCTATCCTAAACAAGGTATTTCTCTAACTAACCCTGGGTGAGCGTGGCGGAGGTACCGCAAGGCGAGGTTGGACTCCGACCTACCCATTTCTATATATATATATATATATATATATATATATATATATATATATAACTGGTTGTCTCATTGAGAACTAGAATTAACCTAGTATACAGCGTCACCAATATCGATCAAACGAGCCGTAGAACCTCTAAAATCCACTGAAGAGTTTATTATCTGGAAAAGTCTAGTTTTGTGGTCTCTCAATTGACAGTCCATTGCAGAGTAGGTAAAATATATTAGATATAGTTTAAGAACTCATGTAAGTAAATTGTAGTTCGTTATGAATGTCTGATATTTATATAATTGTAATATTAATGTCAACTTAAGGTTTTGCTCACTGAAAGGGTAGTGATTTATATAAAGTATAACTTTAAAACTACTGTATTCAGCTTCCTTATGATATTTATAGTTAGTAAAATATAATTATAACATTATCTTAATTATTTTGTTTTCTTTCATTGTTTCCCCTGCGCTCTGAGGTAGACTGGAGGGGCAGTGGAGAAAAATATATCATCACAGGTATTAGGGGCCACATTCTACAACTTTTGAAATCATATTTGGAAAACAGATATCATCTTGGTGAACTTAGAGATACTAAATCTAAATTATCGGAAATTAGAAAAGGTGTTTCCCAAGGATATATCTTGTGACCTATTTTTTTTATATTATACATAAACGACCTTCCTGGCTTTATGTGTAAAAATGCACATGATGTTCGATTAACTTCTGCTGATAACTCGGAGACACTTTCAATAAAAGTTAATAGAACACTAAAAACCTTCCATAAATGGTTCAATACCAACAACCTTACTCTGAATGCTAGTAAGATAAATATAATGCTCTTTAGACTTACATCTAAGTCTAATGAACCTTTAGAGGTAAATTTAAATAACACAAAAGTAAGTGTAGTAAAATCTGTAAAATTCTTAGGTATTCGTATTGATTCGCGTCTGAATTAGAAAGAGAAGTTGCATAAACTAGAAAATAGAGTAAGTTCAGCGTGTTATGCCCTTAGAAGCCTTCGTGATGAAATTAGTCTGGATCAACTGAAGATTGTATATTATGTACTGGTCCCATCTTCGATATAATATAATGTTGTGGGGTAATAGTTATGGTTATAATGTTAGACAAGTCTTTGTTTTGCAGAAAAGGGCAATACGAACCATAGTCGAAATCGCTTAGTGGGAATCATGCAAAGAACACTTTATTATATCACTTAATAGTATCTTAACAGTCCCGGGTCTCTATATTTTAGTTGTCTTTGTCCATTTAATCAAATGACTAGACCAGTATGAAACTCCAGAACAGAAGAGTAAAGAAACCGGAAACACGGCGAAAGGACATTCCGTTTACTATGGTTACTAAATTTAAGGTCAGTTTAACAGTGACAGGCATCAGGCGGTCAGAATGTTTAATTGTTATCCTAACAAGTTAAAAATTATACAAAATGTAAATATTTTCAAAAATCGACTGAATTATCTTTCTATGACTTAATAGAGTTTTTATTTGACATGGCTAAATGGAATTTTGTGTTTTATTTATTATTTGTTTATATTGACTTTAATATGTATTGATATTGATTTATTGTATACTAGTTAATAATTTTATTGTATTTCCGACACATTTATTTTATTGTTCTGGAATCAATAAATTGAAATTAAAAGATCATGTATATGATTGTTATTTTTGTTTGATTCGCACAAAAGGCGTTACAACTAAGTCCAAACATAGTGTCCAGTACCCAAACTTGTTATCGACTGACAAAGCAATCTAACATAGTGCCGAACTGCCTGTGCCAAAGCCATCAACATTTTGTATAAGCTATGCCTTAAGATGGCAGTGGATTCTTATACTTGTAAGAGAAATTCCCTAGACTCAGCGAAATAAAAATGAAAGATAATAATAATGAAGGAGGAACGAAAGCTGAATGATCAGAAAAAAGTCGCCTGGAAATGTTTTGTGTGTGTTGTCCTACATTTTCTAGGAAACCATAAAGCGGAATATTCAAAGACTTAAACAATGAGCTTATAATTTCTTACAAAGCTTTGGGATGTAATCTTTAACAAACATCTGTGTGTGACGAACAAGACGAGGAATTTCATCAAGACATTTCCTTAATAGAAAAATGAATCAATAAAAATAGAGTAGAGGGATGCTAGCCGATTATTGATGGAAACTTAAAAGGGACCTACCAGAAGCCAAACATTCATGAAAATCATAGCTATTTATCGTACATTAAGGAATATATTTTGCTATGTAAGTGTATAAGTGTTACTGATTTTTGTATTTTTTATAAAAATATATTTTTTGATGTCACAAAGAAACCTGATATATAGTTTTTTTATATATTATTGTTTGGTGGCCATAGTACATTCAAAAACTAGTATATTTTTTCCAACCAAGAGTATACTAACTTTTCAATTCAACTAAATCCATATTCCGGAAGCTGATAACTAAATCCTTGTAAGTGTTACATAACAATTTGACGGCTTGATCCCTTCAGGCTTTTATAAATAAGATTAGTGTTGTGTGTTTTGCGGTAACCGTTCCTCGGGCTATGGCGATTCTCACACACACACTGCCCCGCACTACTGTGCGGGGTGCGTGGCGACCGGAGTTACGCGCGTGGTTTCTGGAGTGCAGGTCTGCATCATCATGCAGATTTCGCCATACAAACTCTCGTGTCTCTGCATGAAGGCGCGTAATCTGTAACACTGCGTGGGAATGCGTTTTCAGTGTGTTTTGAAAGAAAGGTACATGCAATCAAAGTAAGAACGTGTAATTCCGCGCTACGCAGCGTCATGCGTGACAGTGTGTGAAGCTCCCAACGCCGGGCGTTTTGCGGCAAGATCCATAATTAATAAGCGGTAAGCCTCCAACCAATAGCTGTTAATTCGCACCAACCAGTATCGTTCCAATATTTACGTAATTGGTGAGTTCTTAATATTATTTAAATTACATTATTCACGAATACTACTAGCTATATCCACCCCGTAACCCTAAATCCGTAATGTAAAATTTACATTCCACTCATTTAATGAGTGGAATACATATATTTCAAGCGAATTTGGTATTGATGAGCGAGTCCTGGTATTATTATGAGTCTAGTATTCTGTAGAACTTATAAAATGACACTATAACTTACGATGTTAAAATTTTGTATTCAAACATTAATAATCACTTGACTCGCCGTCGCTTCGCTTTGGTATAAGTTAAACGTTTATTTCCGAGCTATTATTATGCATAATAAACTTAGTGTGAAATATTCACGAACTTATTGTTTTCATTACAGTTTTGTAAAATTTATTCATTACACTTAAAACTAAACGCTCACAAAACGTTACACACACTTAACAAGAGGCTCGCCGAGCTAATCGGATGGCGCAGAAGAAACTTATATCTAATCAGACGTCCAACAGGCGGACAAAACAAATGAGTACGCGGCTGGGGCTGGGGTGGGCAGTGGGACGGCATTGGATCTTGACTCACGAATAAAGAAGCCAGAGACAAAGCTTCATATACATGCGCGTGTGTAAGTGAGCACTGGCGGCCTGTAGCGTACGCAGAGCAACGTTTCTATTGACTGAGGGCGGCTGACAGGCCACTTACACAAGAGCACTGCATGAAGATTTGCTTCTGTGCCTTCTTTACTAACGTGGTCATGGCATTCGAGCGGTGACTGTCCCGCGGCGCGCACGTCTCGCGCACCGTCCGCGCAGCATGTGTCAGTGAGGACCGCAAGACCGCGCAATGAAGGGCCGCCACCAGTTCCGCCGTCGCTTCAGCTTGCAGCCCTCTTTTATGAAAGAGGAGCATGAGGAAGACAGGCGCCCGCCACACAGGTGATAAACAAATGACACTCAACGCTCGTTGTTTAAAAGTGAAGCGAAACTTTGGTGTTTTTTTAAATACAAAAGAAACGCAATAAACTTTTATTCGGGCGTTGATATACTATTACAGAAGTGAACAATATGAAATTCAAAAGTCAAATTAGTCTAAGGTATAAAATATACTGTCCCTTTATTGAATTCTAACGATTTATCAAAGCGCGCAATATGTTTGCTACGGTTTTCGTAGCGCACTTTCAAAGTTCGTAGCTTAGGAAAATATTTTACTGCGAACTGGGTGCTTGATATTTATTCGGGTGTTTGCAGAATAAATACGGTGGAACTAATAAAAATGATAGTGTTATTTCTCTGTTAACTATTAAACATTCAATTTCATCGGTATTTGATATTTGGGGACACTTGTTACAATGGACTTTTGACTGTAACTTGAAATTTATTAGTACCTCAAAGAAGTTGATTTTCTTTGAGGTACTAATAAATAGAACACTTAAAAAGTTTTAATAATTCATATAGTCGTTGCTAAAATATTATTAATTTCAATTAAATTCATATACCTACATCATATAATATAATTTGCTTGCAACTTCAAGTGCGTATATGATATTCGTAATAGCAATTATCAAACATTATAAATTACTATAATTAATGTTGATTCTATGCTAGAAGCGATATGAATACGTACTTATAGATACTTAGCCTTCAAAAAGTTAATAATGAAAGATAAATAAAAAATATAAAAGGTAACATGCCTAAATAAGTGGTAGATGAGAAGACCCTTTTCGTTAGTTGAGTTGGTTCAGACTTTTAAATTCTTCTTTTATATTCTAACAGTTACGTCCCGAATTAATTCCACTAACAATGAAAAAAATCAGCCGTTAAGTCAGATACAAATTTTGCAATTGTATTAAAAATAAATACTATTCAAATAAGTTGTTTTAATGTTTCACACCGAATGAATATTATTGTTTATAATTAAATTATATTAAATTTTCTTTAGTAGAGATAATTCAGTTGTATTATTTTTATTTATGGATTTTTGGTCGTATAGAAATACCCTTACACAGCTCCATACAAAACATCTTATCACTTCTTTCGTTTTTCTATGGATTTTATCTTCATACCGATATCTCGACCTAAATATGCCACAACCTTATGTTTACCAGATATCTTCAGTGAGGTACTGTTTTTCATTTAATATTTGATGAGAGAGTACTATTGTAGTATTTTTTTCCTTCTATTTGTTTGCATCTAACTGCGAATGGGGATTGCGCGTATAATACGTTCGTTCATTCTCAGTAGATACATTGGCTAGATAGATCCATTAAGGATCTAGTGAAAACTTATTTTCTCTATAGATCATAGCTGTGTGAAACAAAATAAAACAGATTTTTTTTTAACTTAGAAAGCCCCAATCAATCTCTAATCTTTAAATACTTCATGCTTACTTTACTGTTTTTTGCGAAAATACATACTTATATTGACTTAATTGTTGCAAGTTAACCTGTCTCCGTTAAACTCTTCTTCCTCTTTTAAGGAATGAGAGTTGTTAGAATAGAGCAACACGGAAACAAGTAGCCATAGCGACATAATACTATTCAAATCTTTTTGTGGGGGGAATTATGCATACAAACGCAGTTTTACGGATACGCATATAAAATAAGACTGTAACTACGACACTAACATATAAAAATGAAACAATACATCGACAAATCCTGCACACATGTATCGTTTGTATGTACAACTCAGACAGAGGGGAAAGCTGTGTATACCTACTCCCCTCCTGGCCGCATCAGCCATGTTGCTGTATGCTTGTTGGCGACTGCCTGCAAAGCTGCCAAAACCATTTTATATTATTTTTGATGTGTAACATCTTTCCTCTCGCTTTCCCGCAATTTGTGGGTGTGATTTCGTGAAATGGGACGGAAGTGTGTAACAGGGGGTTGCGAAAGCGCGCGCCATTTGATTTGATTTTAGAACGCAATGTTCAAATGGCTTATTCCTTTTGTAATAGGTTTTATTTCGTTTTTTACTAATATATGGTGAGGTTTTCAAATGTTACACATCATACGCGACTACTGTAAGGCTCGCTCGTTTTTTATTATATTATGTGTTACTAGCTGCCCCAGCGAACTTCGTACCGCCATAAAAAATAGGGGTTGGTGGTAGAAAGGTGAAAATTTAACGTTGTATGTATTTTTGTATGATTTATCATAAACAAAATAAATACAAAAAAAATGTTAAGGGTGGACCACCCTTACACATTTAGGGGGATGTTTGTGTGATGAATACGAGCATTTGTTTTCCATTCATGGATGTTTAATATGTATATCTATATTAATATACTTATATATGTACTGTATATGTATTTTATCCGTTACCCTAGTATCCTATAACACAAGCCTTACAGTGCTTACTTTGGGGCTAGGCTAATTGGTGTGCGTGTTGGAAATATATGAAAAAAAAGTTTCTATGAAAACGAAGTAGCCCCCTATCGGACGAAAGCACAAACTGGCTCCTTCCATACAAAACTTGACCATGACGACACGATTACGGATCTGTCAAAGTTCGTACTCGGGCCTCTGAATAACGTCGGACCTTCGTCCAAATCAACCAACGTTAAAATAGAATCCCTTTCAAAGAAATGCTTCCCCAACCATGTTTCTAAAGCAACCCAACGGTAAATAAGCCTATCGTTTATAAAAAAAGTCAATAAACACACTTATCAACGACAAACGTACCAAAACTATTGAAAGGCTGACACATAACGGAAATCAGTGTGAACAAATTCTTCGGAACCTTGTATTTTTTGAGGCTTTCCCATGAAACGATGTGTCAAAACAGGTCACTTAATATTTGACAACTTTATAATAAATAAAACCGGCCAAGTGCGTGTCGTGCCATGCGTAGTGTAGGGTTCCGTAGTTACCACAATATATTTGAGCAGGAGTCTTTTCTATTTTCTACATCGGAAATTAGAAAAACCAATTAATGTCAATCTATGTATCTCAACTAAAATACCTTAATCAAAGTCAAACTGTGCCTCAAACTCAAAATCAATTCGATTTTTTTATGCGAATGATAACCGCCGATTTTTTTTTCTCCAAGGCCGGCGGGGAGCGGTTGTGAAATCCTCATGGATACCCTACAGCCGGCTCCAAGATTATGTCAGACTCTTACTGACTAAAAGCTTCATCCGAAGCGATCATCCCCTAGGAATGGGATGATACGGTATAACTCCCGATCTTTTCAAGTGCATACATATATACTTGTTATAAAAACGTTACGTTAACGCGAGTCAGAAGCTGTTGCCGTTAGTAGTCACGGTTGCGTTGTGGAACTAATGATATTTTTTTGTAGTTTTTAAATAATGTTTTTTTTAGATTTTGTTACAATGCAAGGTTTACGCTGCAATAACTTCATGTATGTCACTATTAATATTTTCTACTAAGGAATTTTCAATAGGTTAGAAATTTTCTTTAACTTAAGTTGAACGACTATTACTCTTAAAATAACAAATCTATCTTAACCGTTATAGTTTTCCTTAAAAGTTCTGAAAAACAAGCCAATAGTTTAGCTTCTATAGGGGGGGGGGGGGCACACTACTCGAACAAAAATTAGCACTTTAAAGTTAAATATTTCGCAAACGTATCCCTAAATCGAATTAAATAATAAAATGAAAAATAGTCTACCATTTTTTTTAAATTTTAAATACATATTGCCACAGAATTACAGTTCTCTAGTGCTAATAGTCTCCAAGCAAAAGCGGGGACGGACAGACGGATATGACAAAACTATAAGGGTACTGCGGCGATCTACCCTGAAGGGGTAGGCCCTGGGAGCGTAGCAATTTATTGAAACAACTTTGATTTGATACGATTACGAATTATTTTAAATCAGGCGAATATAATAAATGAGCTTAATCTTATTAATGCATGGTTTGATGCCTGAAGTCTATCTGATGGAATCTTCTATCAAACGACAGAAGATTCTCAATTTCAAATATTTAAAAATCATGACATTACCTTTTTAATATAACTGCCAACCGTAGGCATTACATGAACAAAGAGTTTATCCAAACAAGGAGGCTGTTACAGTACCTTGTCAGGACTACGGAACCCTAAAAACTGAACAGTGGGAGTCAGACCACGATAAGTTACATCCCAGCGTACAAATTTTAATAATAATTTTAATCCTTTTATTGATAATTAACTTTGCGTAGTTATTAACTGTGTGTATTAGTAGTAATTAACTGTGGAGCGTAGCGAGGAAGATCCCATGGATCAGCTTCAATGACTGTCCTGGGCGTATCTTGCGCTGTTTAGGGTGTGTTTGGTGGAGAGGTTATTTTAAGTATATGTTTTTATTTGGTTACACTAAGGCAGGTGCGCCTTGTTAGGCCCAGTTATTTGTATTATTAAAATAAAAGAATAAATATACATATCTTAACAAACAAATTGAATGATTTTCCTTCACCTATGAGAAAACTGGCTTCCAAAGTCCCTTTTAAAAAGCAGATAAAAATATACTTTTTAGAAATTCAAAAATTAGATATCCCCAACTTTTATGTGTGGCAAGGCAGGAAGCCAAGTTTGGCAAACATTGAGATAAATCATGTGTAATTATAGTTATTATATGTATGATATCATATAATTTTATCTCGCCAACAATCACTTCATTATAGCTATTAACGGGATTGTTACCATGTACCTTGTTTTTTATGAGTCTCCGATATTTCCCGTCACAATCCCGTTAATAGCTATAATGTTAGTGACCATGAAAGTTTAAAACAATAAATCACTTCATTATTTGACTCTATAATGTAGTTTATCTGTGCTCGTCTCCACGTCTCCACTGCATTGTGATGGCTGTTTACTCTTTTCTCCTTGCAAAATCTTTTAAATGTTTATTATTAATAAGGCTGATCTACTCACTCATTGATGCTTGAAAATCGTCATTTTGCCTTAAAACTGGCAAATGTTTAGCCGAGCCTTGGC